CCGACGTTTAGTGTGTGTGTGTGTGTGTGTGTGTGTGTGTGTGTGTGCAGCTCCGACGTTTTGTGTGTGTGTGTGTGTGTGTGTGTGTGTGTGTGTGTGTGTGTGTGTGTGTGTGTGTGTGTGTGTGTGTGTGTGTGTAGCTCCGACGTTTAGTGTGTGTGTGTGTGTGTGTGTGTGTGTGTGTGTGTGCAGCTCCGACGTTTTGTGTGTGTGTGTGTGTGTGTGTGTGTGTGTGTGTGTGTGTGTGTGTGTGTGTGTGTGTGTGTGTGTGTGTGTGTGTGTGTGGAGGACGTAAATTGAGAGGAGCAGCATGTTGGTGTACTGACTGTGTGATTCGGCTGCAGCCCTGATTGGACAGAACCAAAGCAATAACTGGAGTTCTGTGTGTAAACTGGCCTGAATATGAAAATAGAAAACAAGAAGCAGAAGAAAAAGTTGTAAACGACAGCTTTACTTTAGAAAAAATATAGAAAAGTCAGACAACTGCTAAACAGTGATTCAAAAACAGATGTGTAGAAAACAACTGTTGCTCAGAGTGCTCTTAAAGTTGCTATTTGACTTGCTCTCATGTTTCCATAAGACCACCACCCACTCGACTAGGACATTAAATCCACTGAGCTGCATGCTGACTAAAGGTTGGTTTATGCTTGACGCGTCCGCGAGGTCCGCGCGGAAAAGTTGCGTCATTTTGCGTCATTTTAACAACCACGCCCCTCCACCGCGTCTCCGCACGGCCCAAGATTTCCGCAACGCGCACCTCGGAAAATTTCTAACCACGCGGACGGTCGCACGCGGAAAAACATGGCGGACTGGCACGGCAGAGGTTCGTAAATACAGACATTTGTACGATTCAGCTCTCAGAGATCACCGTGATCAACATGTTGTTAATAGTTCTAGGAGACAAATAGCTCGCACTGTCGGAAAAGACGAGAACGCTGTTAAAAATGCTGAAATACCATGTTGTAAACAGTGATTTCTACTTCTACTATGGTGTAGTGTTGGTTGCATGCCGTAGAGCTCCATGCTGCCCCGTTCAGTTTGGGAGAATATTGGCTCACCGCAGAGATGAGCCACATGAACCATAAACGCTGCGAGTTGTGAAGCGTGTTCCAGCCGCGAGCCGCATCACCGCGCGGAAAGTGAATGCGTCAAGCAAAAACCAAGCTTAAAGGTTGGTTTATGCTTGACGCGTCCGCGAGGTCGGCACGTCTCCGCGCGGAAAAATTGCGTCATTTTAACAACCACGCCCCTCCGCCGCGCCTCCGCACGGCCCAGAATTTCCGCAACGCGCACCTCGGAAAATTTCTAACACCACGTGACCAGCTACCGATCAGCAATCGTGAGCTCGCACGGACTTCTGGCGTGTTTAATATTTTGCCCGTCCCTTGTGAGGGTATCACACTGTTGAAGTGGCGCTGCGAGCAGCTGCGACCCAAAATGTACCAGAACCGCTCACGGCGCATGCGCAATCCTGCATCAACGCCGCTCGCCCGCTATTTCCCTAATAAGACACGCTGTTCGTTTTAATTTCTACACGTTTTTTTACTCACAAAGATTGTCAAGAAAGCGTGTTTGTCGTGTTCATGTCAAATTAAACTGATCACAAAACACAGATTTACTTTCTTTATTTTGTTTTCCTCATCCAACCCCCATAAATCCCTGTGTGTCCTCCTGCAGCACTCCCGAAGGACAACAGGCAAAACAAGACAAAAAAGTCTGACGTGTTGTGTAAAAACTGCTATTTTTAGCATATTTTTAGGGCCGACGTGTTGCTACCAGACGTGCAGTGTGAGCGCATGACTCGTGAGATCTGCCCCGCGAGGAAGTCGTACAGTTTGAGCTGAAGCTGAGTGTTACGAAAGAGAAAGTCGCACAGTGTCCTCTGGAGTCACATGTGGAGGCTGCAGTAAGCCTTTTGTTTTTGTCTTTAGCGCTGCAGACCATTTATTGCAGCACGGAAATGCTGAATAGTTTCACAACTTTTAAATCAAAAAGATAATCAGTCCATCGCCATTCTACGTCCCGGCACCTCCGTTCTGCTGACTCCAGCCTCCTTTCCCCTTTCAGAACAAAACATGGCACCATGGGGGATGGAGCCTTTGCAGCCGCTGCCCCCACACTTTCGAACTCTCTCCCACTAAACATCAGGAACGCCGTCTCTCTTTCTACTTTTAAGTCACTGCTTAAAACCCACTTCTTTAAATTGTCCTTCTCTTTAGATCAACCCAGCACCCCCCAGTCTGTTTACTATGTTTCATATTGTTTTATTATGTGTTTATTACATTTTATTGTGAAGCCTCTTTGAGTGACCTAAAAAGCGCTTTACAAGTTTGATGTATTATTATTATTATTATTATTATTATTATTATCACTTACAACCGCAGAAGGCAAAGTGTGTCCCCACTCCCTGTTCAGCTATTTTCCTGCACCAGATCTGGCGTTTACAGATGTTTCTCACCTGTGTGAATAACACATCTGTCTAAGAGAAAAACCACTTCTCCAACTCATTTACTTATTTACATATCTGAAAGGTGGCAGCCCTACCTGTGTCCATGCTGTCCAGGTCCAGGTGGTGAAGAACACACGATGAATCAGTCCCAGCTGATGGATGATCCTGAAGTGGTAGCAGGTTTTCTTTAGCCGTGTTTAGCTAACAGCTGCAATAGAAACAAAGCAGGAGAGCTGATTAAGATGCTGCTTCAGAACAACGCAGGAGATTAAAGATCCAACGCTTTGGTTCTGGCCAAAGGAACAGCAGCAGATCCAGAGGGCAGGAAGTCTAGAGAAAAGCTTTTCTCACCCACAACCTGATTCTGGAGCTCCGATTGTCACGAAGACCGCAGAATATCTTCTCTGGTTCTGGAAAGAACTCCACCAAGTTGTTGAGGAGGAGAAGAAAGTTTCCACAGCCTGGTGAGAAGATTTCTGCAGCAGCAGCAGTTAGTCGCTTTAGCTGATAAACTCTCCCAGAGACTGAAGTGAAGACATTTTTACTGCAGAGCCTCAAATTTTCTCCTCACACACCAGAACAACAACAAGCTAGCTCTGTTAGCAGCTTCCGGTTTCTGCTTTTTCCGGTGGTCAATGGCCAGCGTAAATGTGCACTAGCGCCACCTGCTGGAGCAGAATAAAACACCTGTGTGTTCAGAATATAGAACAAAGATAAAACAGCACAGAATAGGTATACACATAAAATACATATAGAATAAATTTAACACAGGACAAATAAAGAACTAGTAGAGCACAGATGCAAGGAAAGGTTAATGGAAGACATCATGAAAAAGTTAAGTTTTTTATCTGGATTTAAAAATGGAAATGGTGGGAGAGGTCTTAATGTCTATTGGAAGACAGTTCCAGAGACAGACAGCATAGCAGCTAAAGGCAGCCTCTCCGTGCTTGCTGCGGGCTCTGGGTTGTACCAGTTGGGATTTATCTGCTGACCTAAGTGATTTTGAAGGGCGCTACGTTTCAAACATCTCTGCTATATACAGAGCTCGTTGGCAATTTAATTATTTAAAAGTAAGTAAAAGGTCTTTGAAATCAATCCTGTAAATTACTGGAAGCCAATGTAAATATTTTATGACTGGTGTGACGTGATCATTTCTTTTGGTTCTGGTCTCTTGCTCTCTGTGTCTCTGCTGTGTGTAACGCACAGCCTTCAGACCTGCTGAGAAAAAAACCTACAAGATGCAGAAAAAAAAACGATAAACCTCCAACATTAATATTGTCAGCAATAAACGCAGAAAAACTTAACTTTCATGACCAAAAAAAATACCCCATAAAAACTATTTAATAAATATGGAGAGCAGGAACAAACCTTATTTCTGATTTTACTTTTTTACTTCAATTAAAACTACTTAGATTTTAGTGTTTTCATCACATTTAGCTTGTATTTTAGTTAAAATATCATCAGCTTTACAGGTTAGCTGTTCCTGTGTGCTCAAAAAGTTATTATACAAACCTTCTAGAAAAAATTAACAAATAATTCACATGAAGTAGATTTGTTATTCGTTATCTGAAAGTATCCAATTAATTAAAAAAAACTAAATATGTTTTGTTCTATTTAGTTTTCAGAATATCACTAGTTTACTTATACTTGAAAAAAAAATATACTGATGTACTGAAATACAGAGAAATCAACTTGTGAATACAAAGCATGTTAATATAGTAAGTATAGCATGTTTAACATAAGCACATTCACACATAAGTATCAATGTAAATAAATCATATGGCAGTAACTCTGCTGTACTTTCATTGAGTATAAGTAGCTCACGGGCCAAAGAACGTTGGAGACCCCTGCAATAGATCGTTCAGCCCAAGTGGATGCTTAGATGATTATTTAAAGTTTTCTTTCAGCTAAATCTTCATCTACAGAGTTCACAGGTGAAAGGGTTCTGTCCTGTGTGGACTCTCATGTGAATGTTTAAAAGTGTCCTATGACTAAAGGATTTGTTGCCAGTCCTAAAATCTGACTCAGAACCCCTGTTCTCATTCCAGAATTAAATAAAACACAAGCTAAATGTGATGAAAACACAAAAGTCTAAATAGTTTGAATTGAAATAAAAAAAAACATTTTAAATCAGAAATAAGATTTGTTCCCGCTCTCCTGATTTACTGAATAATTTTTATGGATATATTTGGTCACGAAAGTTAAGTTTTGCTGCGTTTATTGCTGACAATATGAAGGCTGGAGGTTTATACTTTTTTTCTGCATCTTGTAGTTTTACTTTCTCCACGGGCCTGAAAACTAATTAAACTAATTAATTAAAGTAATTAAAAACTTAACTTTTTCATGATGCCTTCCATTAACCTATCCTTGCATCTGTGCTCTACTAGGTCTTTATCTGTACTGTGTTAAATTTATTCTATATGTATTTTATGTGTATACCTATTCTGTGCTGTTTTATCTTTGTTCTATATTCTGAACACACAGGTGTGTTTTATTCTCCTCCAGCAGGTGGCGGTAGTGCACATTTACGCTGGTCACCGACCACCAGAAGAAGCAGAAACCGGAAGCTGCTAACAGAGCTAGCTTGTTGTTGTTCTGGTGTGTGAGGAGAATATTTGAGGCTCTGCAGTAAAAATGTCTTCACTTCAGTCTCTGGGAGAGTTGATCAGCTAAAGCGACTAACTGCTGCTGCTGCAGAAATCTTCTCACCAGGCTGTGGAAACTTTCTTCTCCTCCTCAACAACTTGGTGGAGTTCTTTCCAGAACCAGAGAAGATATTCTGCGGTCTTCGTGACAATCGGAGCTCTAGAATCAGGTTGTGGGTGAGAAAAGTTTTTCTCTAGACTTCCTGCCCTCTGGATCTGCTGCTGTTCCTTTGGCCAGAACCAAAGCGTTGGATCTTTAATCTCCTGCGTTGTTCTGAAGCAGCATCTTAATCAGCTCTCCTGCTTTGTTTCTATTGCAGCTGTTAGCTAAACACGGCTAAAGAAAACCTGCTACCACTTCAGGATCATCCATCAGCTGGGACTGATTCATCGTGTGTTCTTCACCACCTGGACCTGGACAGCATGGACACAGGTACTGGTGGATGAATGACTATATTATGACTGCATGGTGGGACATTACAGTGCCTCTCCCATGAGGTGTTATCATTAAAACATGTCCGTGTTGTGTTTTAGTCTGCTGCAGCAGCTCGGTCCGAACCTCTCTGGTTCTTTCTTCGCAGAGGAGAGAAGCTCCAGAGCTTTTGAACTATTGAACAACTTTAATTTTAACACAGCAGGACTTCAAGACGAGGAGGCAGTGATTGAATTTTATCTTTGTTTTCTAAAATAATCAAACAAATGGTAGAAGAGCTCAGATGAAACTAAATAGAATTAAAAACCTGAAATCGAAATAAAATAAAAAATAATGAAACATGCAAAACAATTAAAACACCTGGGTTGGTGTGTCATTAAGTTTTTCTCTAGGAAAGATGGATCTAGTTTGTGACTGGTTGAAATCACCCTGGTTGCTAGTTTGACGTCCACAATGAGAAGAGCTGGGTTTCAGGTCCTTATGAAGAAGAAGAAGAAAATATCATTTCTACAGCGCCTCTCAAGATAAAAATCACGAGGTGCTTCACAAAAAATGTAAAAATATAAAAAAGGATTTAGAAAATGTTTAAAAATATATTTAAAATGAGCCAAAATAGGCAATAGTGATTAAAAAATGTTAAGAGAGAGAGTGAACAGGAAAGAGGGAAATCAGTGGATCCTGAGGAAGGTGGAATAGGTGGGGAGAGCAGAATAAAGAGAGAGTGGTGAAGAAGGTCATACAAAAGCCAGCTTGAACAAGTGAGTCTTCAGCTGCTTTTTGAAGGAGACCACTGAGTCCACTGATCTCAGGCTCAGGGGGAGAGAGGTACAGAGTCTGGGGGCCACAGCAGCAAATGATCTGTCACCTTTGGTCTTTAGCCTGGTGCTGCACAACCAGTAGGCTTTGGTCACTGGACCTCAGGGACCTGCTGGGGGTGTAGGGACTAAGAAGATCACCAATGTAAGATGGTGCTTGCCCATGTAAGGCCCTATAGACCAGAACCAGGATCTTGAAATGAACAGAATTTTGGACATTGTTTCCACGATCTGGTTCTTTCAGACACTACCCAAGCTCGTGAACATAGATGAGGGTGGGAACATAGATCAACCAATCAAGAGCTTCGCCTTCCGACTCAGCTCTCTTTTCACCACGTTGTGAGGAGAAATCTGCTGACATGTCAGCCACCGAGTCTAGTAGAGACAACGCCATTTTGACCGTGTCACAGGTTCCGTCAAGCTCAGACAATTCCATAAAAGGGAAAAGAGGTGGAGCTGAGGGTGGGGCTGTAAGGCTGGGATCAAATGACGACACCTGCCGAACTGAAGCGATGTAGCTACAAGCTAACCCAAAGCTAACGTGGAGGTGGGAGCTAAGCTAAAGGAGGTAGCTACCTAGCTACAACCGGAGTTACCTGTGCACAACACCGGAGCTTCTGAGTCAGAGATACGCCGGGCTGCTGCTGAGGGGACCATACTGATAGTCGGAACCCAGCTCCACCAACATATCATATTTCAACCCATTTTCAAAAATGCAGCGTTATGTTAAATGCACCTATTAAATTTAAATTTCATGGTTAAACAGTACATGTTAAAATCTAAGCTCAGCTCGGCAGTGACCTAAAATACATAAATATAATTTTACTTACCGAAAAAAATGAAGTGGAGACTCCTTGGACGCTCTATTGGTGCAATTAACGCCACAGCAAGTCATTTTGTCCAACAATTGCACAAAAAATATCCAAAATAGAACACACAAACGCTACAACTAATGGTCTAAGATGAGAGACTGAAAATGGCGGAACAGTTTTCAGGCGAGACCGAGGCTCAGACTGAGGCCTTTCCCCGGAGCTAGCTCTGTGGTCACGTGGGTCTGATGCTCATTAATTATTCAGAATTTTTTAATACACTTAAACAGAAGAGTGAGAAAAACACTCACCCCCTCAGAGTTGTCATGAGTGTAAACTAGATCATTTAAACCAAAAACATGTTTTGGTACCAGGCTGTAAACATGTTTATTTCTGCTGTGAAATTAGTATTTTTAACATGGGAGTCAATGAGGATTTGCTCGCTTCTGACATCAGCCCCTAGTGGATGAGGGTGGAACTGCAATTTTTTCACTTCCGTGAAATGCTTTGCTGCATTTATTGTTGACAACATTAAAGCAGGGTTGGAGGTTTAACCTTTTTCTCTGCCTCTGGATCAGCGGGTCTGACGGATGAGCAACACAGAGCAGAGAGAGAGAGATTTAAGAATCGTGTTTTGTTCCTAAACGGGACAATCAGCTGAAACTGTTGAGGGAAATTTGTTGAAACTAAATCACCGGAGATGTCCAGACTTTGGAAGCCTGTTAATCGTGTTAATAATCGAAGAGCATTTAATTTGCTTTGATGACATATTTACGCACAGAGGACTTTACAGTCACCCACAATATTTTATTGAGGATGTTTTTCTGTAACCAGGTCTATATGACCGACGTCACCTCGTCTTTAGAAGCTCCTGCAGCTGCAGCCGCTGATATCAGAAACGGGGATCCGCACTGCAACCTGAGCAATTAATCCATTCCACATATTTCCAGTAGAACACTTTTGCCGAAAGATTTGTGCAATAATCAGATTTTATTTTACTTCCACAAAATTCTAATTTTACATGAGATATTACGAGAACCGGGGAAGGCTTGCCATCAAATTAGAAATCCGTCCCTTGTTAATTACAAGTCAGGCTGGGCAGCTCACTGGCTGCTTCCAGGCCAGCGACTTTCAAGAGCTACCGGTAGCTCACGACCAACATGCTGGAGACCCCTGCAATAACACAACTCTCATGTGTGTGAATTTAAAGTTACAGCAGTCGGTATTTCACGTTATGTGTTTCTGTTTCCTACAGGTGTTCAACAGCTGGTGCAGGTTAAAGAAGAAGATCCTGAAGAACAGAGTGCTGGTGTGGACCAGCAGGACCCAGAACACCTCCACATAAAGGAGGAACAGGAGGAGCTCTGGACCAGTCTGGAGGGAGAGCATCTCTGTTTGAAGGAGGAGACTGAAGCTGTCGGGTTTCCTGTTACTGCTGTTTCTATAAAGAGTGAGGATGATGAAGAGAAACCTCTGGTCTCACAGCTTCATCAGCAGCAAATAGAAGACAGAGATGTTCCAACCAGCAGCTCAGCTGACCAGATGTCAGCAGAAACTGGTGGAGGAGCAGGAACTAGCAGGAACCCAGATCTGAACCCTCATGAACAAACATCTGATTCTTCAGAGACTGAAGTTAGTGGAGATGATTATATTAATCTAGACTCTGGGATGTCAGACTCTGGGTCTGAAACTGGAGACGAAGACCATGACTGGAATGAGAAAAGGTCTTCTGAGTCAGATGTTCAGACAGTCAACATATCTTTTAGCTGTCTTGAGTGCGGTGAACAATTTCATGACAAGCAGTCTCTCCAGAAACACGTGAGAGTAACCAGTCATTCAGCAATAAGGTCTTCTAGCCCTTTGGTTAATAAAAAATCTGTTGGACTTGAGCAACCTGTAGACTCGTATTGGGAAGCCCAGAAAGAACTAAAATCATTTAGTTGTGGTGACTGTGGAAAAATATTAAGGGGAAAACCAAATTTTAACAGACACCAGAGAGTCCACACAGGACAGAAACCTTTTGCCTGTGAGCTCTGTAGAAAAAGATTTACCCAAAAGTCAGGTTTAAACAGTCACATGAGAATCCACACAGAAGAAAAACAGTTTGCTTGCAAGCTCTGTGGAAATCGATTTACCCAAAAGACAAGTTTAAACACTCACATGAGAATCCACACAGAAGAAAAACAGTTTGCTTGCAAGCTCTGTGGAAATCGATTTACCCAAAAGACAAGTTTAAACACTCACATGATAATCCACACAGGACAGAAACCTTTTGCCTGTGAGCTCTGTGGACAAAGATTTACCCAAAAGTCAACTTTAAGCAATCACATGAGAATCCACACAGGACAGAAGCCTTTTGCCTGTGAACTCTGTGGACAAAGATTTACCTGTAAGCCAACTTTAAACAAGCACGTGATAGTCCACACAGGACGTAAACCTTTTGCCTGTGAACTCTGTGGACAAAGATTTGCTTACAAGTCAACATTAAACGATCACATGAGAATCCACACAGGGCAGAAACCTTTTGCCTGTGAGCTCTGTGGAAAAAGATTTACCCAAAAGTCAACTTTAAACAATCACATGAGAATCCACATAGGACAGAAGCCTTTTGCCTGTGGGCTCTGTGGAAAAAGATTTACCCAAAAGTCAGGTTTAAACACTCACATGAGAATCCACACAGAAGAAAAACAGTTTGTTTGCGAGCTCTGTGGAAATCGATTTACCGAAAAGTCGACTTTAAACGATCACATGAGAGTCCACACAGGAGATAAACAATTTGCTTGTGAGGTCTGTGGAGAAAGATATGGACAAAAGAAAATGTTATTCAAGCACATGAGAGTCCACACTGGATAGAAACCTTCTGTTTGTGAGCTCTGTGGACAAATTTAAAGTTACGGTGTTTACTTTCCCTGGTAATTGGGGCCAGTACAAATCTAAATGATTGCAAGCAAGCAGTGTTTTTGTGTTCGAGTAAGACTTTACCAATGTATGCTATTAGGGTCAAAACTCTGCACTTTTCAAACATGTACTTCGTCAGATCTCTGCTGCAGGGATGGGGATTGGTTGTTTGTGCTCTCGACTGACAGGACTGTGTGTGTTTTCTAGTTTTAGTCTTCAGTGTTTTATATCTAATTCTATTGTTCATTTTTGTTTTGTCCTTTATTGCTGTAAAGCATACTGAGTTGCCTTTGTTTGGCAAATGTGCTATATAAATAAAGCTGTCTTGTCTAGTCAAGTCTCATTTTTTCACAGATTCCATCCTAAGCTTCAATCCTAACCAAGATGATAAAATATGTAGTTTTAAAGATTTGAGTCACCAAGTTTGGTTAAAAAGATCTACAACAAAAAAGAAAAAAAACTGTCTTTTCGTACGTTATGTCCAGAGAACTTGTTGGCAGGGTGAATAGTCGGGACTTCAGAAAGTGACGAATCCTAAGCTTCTGTCTTATCAAAGATAATAAAATGTGAGTGTTTTTGAGATTTAATCTGTGATTCTGCTAAATTTGTTTCATGAGAAGGAAACCAGACAAAATTAAGATTAAAGCAGTTTTAGCTATCAAATATAAAAAGTAGTACATGAGTAATGTTCCCCACAGGCATAACTGGAGACCTCTAAGCCGAAGCGAACTGCCCGTGTGTCCCTGAGAGTCTGAAGAGACGACTCTCTGATTATATTTTTCTGTAGCCACACCCTTATCTGTCCAGTTCAAACTAGGGTTGCTCAATTAATCAAATTTTAATTACAACTATGATCTGGGTTTTAAACAATTATATAAACAAAACGAGCAGATTATTTTCTTCCCTCCTGAGTTAAAGTGCACCTCCCTGTCAGGGTCTTGGGTCCAGTTCTACTCATTCTCACCTTCGTCTCTTTTTCCCTTGAGTCTATAGGTTGGCCTCTGGAGGGCACCGTGGTCACGCTCGACTCAGATGCGCGTCATTACTCATCAACTGCTATGGATAAAAGCAACTGGAAGCCAAACGCACACCGCAAGAGTGTTGCACCTTGTGGTAACCTCCAGCCCCTGAGGTCTTGATCTAACAGTCTTCAGATTTAATTCTCTAATTCATTGTTCTGTCTCCTTAGTGACCTGGCTCCGGTTTCCCTGATTCCTGTGATTAAGGCTCGTTCTTCTGAACTTCGCCCTCCTGGAAATACCCTCCGTTGGCTCCCAAGTCTCCTCGTATCATCACTGCCATCCTGCTCTCAGTCCTCTTCAGCAGCTTAGTTTCTGCCGTGCGTCACCTGCTCTGCCCTCCACCGTCAACCGTAAGAAAATAATTCCTGGTCCTCTATTAGTTTCTCAGCCTACTCCCCAGTGTATTAGAACCATCGATTCCTGGACTCTTGATTCTATTCCTCCCTAGCCACTTGGAAAACCCACTCAGTAATCTGTCCATCTATACTCACTGTCTTTGCCCAACCAACTTAGCTGCTCCTCCTCTTTTAGACTTGCCACACCTCCGACGTCTGGAACCAACTTTGAATTTGAATATACCTTCCAGTGCTACTTGGACACGTCATCAGTGAAGAACCCAGGGTCATAGGGTGTTTCGGGTCTTTAATCTGCGCACACCCTCACCCGGGCGACCCAGCTGGGGGTGATCAGTCCCCAGCTTGTGTCCAAGTGGCCTATTGCTCCACGGATCCCCCCTGCGGATCCACAGCCACTGCGAGGCCCTCTCTGCGGCCTCGAGGATGGTTTTGGTGGCTTTCTTCAGTTGTAGTCCTCTTACTCCAAGGAGTTAGAGCAGGGGCGTCAAACTCAAACTCACACGGGGCCGAAATGAAACTCTGGGACGGAGTTGAGGGCCAAACTTAATATTTTTTGAAAAAGTGACGGCAAATTTGCACATTTTCTTTATCAACATATATGCAATTTTGAACCTTTAAATTTGGAAACAAACATTTCTGCATTAACACTGAATGTGGAATAACCAAATTACACACGAGCAAGTCAGTTACAAATAAAAGGCATCAGTGGTATTCATTACTTGTGGTATAATCAGCATTTTTAAAATCTATTCAGGATTTATGTTTTCTTGTTTATTCATTTTTCTTATTTTTTATTCTCCTTTTTTTCTCCTGTAATACGTGTCATCGCTGCTGTGACGTCTAGCTTTCCCCACTGAGGAACAATAAAGGGATTTTCTATTCTATTCATCTATCTGCAGCCTTTCCACTTCCTGTTTACTGTAGGTTAAATCTTTTCTCACGGGCCAACAACAAAATAAAAGTATCATTTTGTCTTAAATGAAAATGCAACATCTCACCTGTTAACTTTCATGTTTTGGAGCAGAAAAAGAGCATAAAACCAACATATTTAAAGCTCAGTTTGCTCCACTGGTTTACTGTGATGCTCACCTGTTCCAGCCAGATACCTGCATCATGGGGTTGATCTGAGCTGAGGAGGAGACTCCTGTTGTTTTGTTCATCTTCATCATAATAATGACAGCATTAGATGACAACAGGTGCTCACATAGGTTTGTGCTGATGAACGTGTCTGAGCAGCTTGACCGCGTTGTTGTGTGTCGGGGAGGAAACACAACCACAGAGCCGTGCTGGTTTGAGCGTGTCGCTGCTCGCTGGAGTTATATCAGCTCTGTCTGGACGTTAGTTGGAAAACTTTCTCTTTCAGTCGTGAACACATTACTGAGCGGCTAGAATCTCCGTTTCTGGGCTTCAACGTCAGAAAACAGCTGAGTGAACTCGGCGCTGAGTGAGAGGAGTGTAGTTTGTCCGAGACAGCGGAGCTGCAGACACCAGCAGCAGACGCTGGAAAAACACAAAGGAGGGGGTGCTTCGGCTCCGCACTAACGCCGCAAAGCATCATGGGAGTTGAAGTCTTTGCGGTAAAATCGGCCAGCGGGCCAGTTTTAATATATTTTTGATATTTATCTCGCAGACCACATAAAAATGCTCCGCGGGCCTTGTGTCTGACATATGTGAGTTAGAGGGTTCGCAGCAGTGAGTGGCCAGCAAAGCCTTGGCACCCAACCTCGACAGGCTCACAACGAATTTTTCAGCCGTTGTTCCGGCACTCCGAGCTCAGCTCTGCATACTTGGCCCTCTTTCACTCGTGGGCCTCTTCGATACGGTCTTCCCAAGGGACTGTCAGTTCTAGGACCGCTTGCTTGGTGGACTCAGATGTTATCACCATATCTGGGCAGAGAGACAGCTGTTATGTTTTCTGGGAAATTGAGCTGTCTACCTACATCAACTTGAAACTGCCAGTCGCGTGCGGTAGAGTGTTAGGGATTTTATCAATATATTTATCAATAAACCCATTACCTGCAGCTAGAGAGAGAGAGAGAGAGAGAGAGAGAGAGAGAGAGAGAGAGAGAGTAGACAATAAGCAGACAGTCACCAGATTGCAATCAGGGCAGAGCACGAGGCTTCTGCCAAGAGTTTCTATCCTGAGTTTTATTTATACAAGAAGATAAGAGAGAGAGACAGTGTGTATGAGTGAGAGAGTGTGTGTGTGAGAGAATGCTTTCAGGACAATCAGTTAATAGTAGGGGTTGTATGAACTAGTCGACTTCACGGCTCTGTAGTGACTTTTTATGCCTGTCATCGACTAGTCGCTGTCACGTGATAATGAGTGGCAAGATGCAGTCCTCCAGCAGGTGATGAGCCCCTGCGTCGGGAGGCGGAGGCGACGCACTGTGCCAGAGCGTCGGTACTGTCACCGGCAGTAAAACGGACATTTAACCAAACTGTGACCTTTTCCCTCTTGCAATTTTACCTTCCCCTCACCCCCATCCTAATCTTAACCAGTTTGCGCATGCAAAGCTCTGATCGTTGACGCGCTCCAGACATCTGCGTCCTGAGCACCGCCAAATCAGGTGTCACCACCTCAAAAACAAATTAAACACGCGATCGATCGTTCATGTCGGCTCATTTCCTTTAATGCTTTCTGTCTGTTATTTGTGCCTGATGCGTTTCGCTAATGCGGAGCGAGGCTCTTCACCTGTTCTGTTCTCCGGTGACGCACCCCCAAGATTCCACTATCTCCGCTCCGCTCCGGCACGAACTCCGCAGCAAAAACGGTTCCGTTGTAGTCGGCCGGCGAGCAGCGGCACTCCGCTGTTTGTGCGGTCGGTAGATCTTTTAGAACTGCAGTTCAAAGGTAACTCATGAGGTGAATATATATGAACCCAGGTAGCAGTATTTCTTTAGGATTGAGAGGAGATGCAGGAAGATAATAAACAGACAGGACAGAAAAATAGTCAAATAAAAACAAGTTAGTTTTTGTACCTGCTGGTTGCAACAAACAGACACCATTGAAGGTAATCAGAAGTGAGGAACAGAAAATGAAATAATTATTTTAATGTTTAGAGCAGCAGGAACTCCGAGAGGCTGCAGGCGCATCAGTTTGCTGCTGCTGCGCAGGGGGAGGGGGCTGAAGTAGGATGCAGAAACTACCGTTGTTAAAAGAAATGTGTTAACTTAGAAAATGTGGGCGCAATTTTAATTGTCAAAAACTCCAGCGAACCTACACCCCCCCCCCTCGCCGCTTCAGGTGTATGACGTCATCAACGACTAGTCAAAGTCGACTCGATTTTCATTTCTTGACTGTCGACTTTAAAAAAAATTAAGTCATGCAACCCCTAGTTAATAGTATTAATGATCAAGAAATAATAAAACATAAAATTTCCATAACAAAATCCCTCCTGTTTATCCGAATAGGATAACCAAACAAAAGAAAACAACAAAACAAAGACCAAATAAGTACAATAATAAAGAACAAATAATAAAGCACGATAGGGCAAATACATTATGTCAAGTAAGCTCATGCTGCCGCATGACAGTTATACATATATTAGTGAAGCCTGGCATTCCACTTCATGTCTAGATCATTGTTTTAGCTCATCAGATGCTCATGGGTCTCTGAGTTCAATGAATATTCAGCATAACCTGGCCGTCAGTGATCATGTCCCACTTTCATTCTCAGTCAAAGTTGAGCGTCTGCCCGAGGTGTTTGTAGGTAATGATGGAGGGTGTCAAAGCAATTTGAACTGGTCTAATGTTACATAAAGTGAGTTGAGGTCATACTCTATAAAGACGGAAGAATTATTGAGAACCGTTGTTTTACCCAATGAGGCCATTAGGTGTACTGATCCAAATAGTGCAAATATGAAATATAAAGTGGACATCTGCACATTTTATGATCGAATAATTGGAGCTCTTATTGAGAGCAGTAAGCCACTTCATAAAGTGGTCGGCAGC